GGGTTGAGGGAGAAAATGGGGTTAAAAATGGGAAATTTGGGTTAAAAATGGTGATTTAAAGGTTTGTGATGGGAAAAATGGGGTAAAAATCAGGGATTTTGGGGTTGAGGGGGGAAATGGGGTTAAAAATGGGGATTTGGGGTTAAAAATGGTGATTTAAAGGTTTGTGAGGGAAAAATGGGGTAAAAATCAGGGATTTTGGGGTTGAAGGGGAAAATGGGGTTAAAAATGTGGATTTGGGGTTGAAAAATGGTGATTTAAAGGTTTGTGAGGGGAAAAATGGGGTAAAAAATGGGGATTTTGGGGTTGGGGGAGGAGAAATGGGGTTAAAAATGGGAAATTTGGGGTTAAAAATGGGGATTTAAAGGTTTGTGAGGGGGAAAATGGGGTAAAAAACAGGGATTTTGGGGTTGAGAGGGAAAATGGGGTTAAAAATGTGGATTTTGGGGTAAAAAATGGTGATTTAAAGGTTTGTGAGGGGATAAATGGGGTAAAAACAGGGATTTTGGGGTTGAGGGGGAAAAATAGGGTTAAAAATGTGGATTTTGGGGTTAAAAAATGGTGATTTAAAAGTTTGTGAGGGGAAAAATGGGGTAAAAAATGGGGATTTTGGGGTTGGGGGAGGAAAATGGGGTTAAAAATGGGAAATTTGGGGTTAAAAAATGGTGATTTAGAGGTTTGTGAGGGGAAAAATGGGGTAAAAATCAGGGATTTTGGGGTTGAGGGGGAAAATGGGGTTAAAAATGGGGATTTGGGGTTAAAAATGGTGATTTAAAGGTTTGTGAGGGGAAAAATGGGGTAAAAATCAGGGATTTTGGGGTTGAGGGGGAAAAATGGGGTTAAAAATGGGAAATTTGGGGTTAAAAATGGTGATTTAGGGTTTGTGAGGGGAAAATGGGGTAAAAAACAGGGATTTTGGGGCTGAGAGGAGAAATGGGGTTAAAAATGTGGATTTAAAGGTTTGTGAGGGGAAAAATGGGGTAAAAATCAGGGATTTTGGGGCTGAGGGAAAAAATAAGGTTAAAAAATGGTGATTTAAAGGTTTGTGAGGGGGAAAATGGGGTAAAAAACAGCAGTTTTGGGGCTGAGGGAGAATTGGGGATAAAAACATCCAATTTTGGGGGTTGAGGGGAAAAATGTGTTAAAAAAAGGGTGATTTGGGTTAAGAAATGGGAATTTTGGGACAAAGGGAGGTGAAATGGGTTAAGAAATGGGAGGTTTGGGAGTCAGAGGGAAAAATGGGGTTAAAAGGACAGTTTGGGTGAAAAAACTGCATTTTTGGGTGAAAAAGCTTCATTTTTGGGTGAAAAAGTTGCATTTTTGGGTCTAAAAACCTGAATTTTGGAGTTTCAGAACACGAGGGGGGGTTGGGGGAGATAAAAATGAGCGGTTTGGGTTAAAAATGCGATTTTTGGGGCACAAAAGTGGAATTTAGTGAGTGAAAAGTGACATTTTGGGGCAAAAAAAGGGGAATTTGGGGGTTTAAAAGTTGTATTTGGGGCTACAAGTTGATTTTTGAAGCTGAAAAGCAGCGGATTTGGAAGAGGAAAAGGTATTTTTGGGCCTAAAAATCAAGATTTTGGTTGAAAAGGTCATTTCTAGGGAAGGGAAAATCTGATTTGGGGGTTAAAAAGTTGAGTTTGGGGCGTTTTGGGGAGGGAAGGGTTTGGTTTGAGGCTGAAAATGTTTATTTGGATGGCGGAAAACTCGATTTTGGGGCTGAAAATGAAAGGTTTGGGGGGAAAATCGGCGTTTGAGGCATAAAAAAAGTTAATTTTGAGGTTAAAAAGTGCAATTTTAGGGTTCAAAAAATATTAAGTGAAGCAAAAAAGCCCAAAAAAGCCCCAAAAATTGGTATCTCAATGCGAAAAACAGCAAATTCCGAGGCCTAAACCGTCAAAATTGGGGTAAAAACCGAGAAATTTGTATCAAAAAACACAATTTTGGGGTTTTTACGTTTATTTCGCGGCAAACCCGGTGGTTTTGAGTTAAAAAAAAAGCGGATTTAGGAGCACAAAGCTTCGATTTTTCCCCCGGGCACCTCCATTTTAGGGCTGGAAACCTCCATTTTGGGGGTGGAAACTCCCCCCGAGCCGCAAAACCCGCCAATTTTAACCCAAAAATCCACTTTTTGAAGAAAAAAACATTAAATTGAGCCCTGAAAAATCCGATTTTGGGTAAAAAATGGTGTTTAAGGCATTAAAAAAAGGGTTTTAAAGAACAAAGATGCTCGGTTGAGGTTCTAAAACCTCCATTTTAGGGCGGGAAAAGCCGCAAAAAGCGGCGTTTTAGCCCCAAAAAAACCATAAATTATCATTTTAAGATTAAAAATTAATATTTTAGGGTTAAAATCGCGGGTTTTTTTCGGGGGGGAAACGCCCCTTTGAGGGGTGGGGAACAAAGCTCATGACGAGGCTCAAAAACATCGATTTTAGGTGCGAATTTTGAGGTTTTGAGGCACAAAACCCACAAATAAATAATTTAAAAACATCTTTTTTTTATGAAGTCTGTTTTTTTACTTAAAAATTTAAAACGTCTTTATTTAAATCAAAAAAATCTTATTTAGAGATAAAAAAACCTCAAGTTCAGAACAAAAAACGGCCTTTTTGGGAGACTAAAAAACCTTAATAACGAATATTAAACCCTTTTATTTTGGGGCTAAACCCTTCGATTTTTAGGGTTAAAACCACGCCCCCCTTCGGGCTCCGAAAGGTTCATTTTCGGCCACATTTTGTTCAGTTTCCAATTAAAAAAAAAAACACGATTAATTTGACGTCAAAAAGAATTCAATTTATGGGTATAAATAACTTAATTGTAAAAAAAAAAAGCACTTTAATTTTGGCCAAAAAGCACCAACAAGCAGCGTCCAAACCACACCGGGAGTTTAAAAAAACCGTAAAAAATTCCGAATATTAAATTAAAATAAAAGAAAATATTTATTAAAAAGAAGAAAAAAGGCGGGATTTTAAATTTAAACCCTTTAATTTGAGGGCCCCTCGGCCGCCATTTTGCCGCTTCCGCCGCTTTCCTTTTTGAAAATAAAAACCCCGCGATTTTCCCCCAAACCCGCGGCTCGGGGAGGGGTCAAAAACCCGCAAAATACATCCCAGGGAGAATAAAATAAAAAAAATAAGGTTAAAAACGAAGATTTTGAGGCGATTTGAGGCCGTTTCGGGGCCGCCGCCCCGAGCCGCCATTTTGAGGCCGCGTGTGAGGGGAGGGGGGGGCGGGTAAATTTACCCCCTAAAAAAAAACCCCTCGGGCACGGAATTACCTCGTTTTAACCTCATTTTAACCCCCAAAAGGTGGAATTCGCCGCCGGCTCCACCCCCACGAGTGTTTCGCGTGGCGGGAAAGCGCCGATTTGGGGGAAAAATCCCCTCATTTCGCCTCATCCTTTGTCTTGTGTGGGGGGTGTGAGGGGAGCTCTTAAAGAGGGCAACGCAGGGAAGGGAAGCAGGTGGGGCCCACCCCCCGAACCCACGCGTGTCCCGCGTGTTTTTCCCCCCCACACACACACCTCCCACTCCTCCCCACCCCGCGCTGACCTTGGCGCCGATCTGGTTGCCGCATTGGCCCGCCTGGATGTGCACGATCTCCCTCATGGCGACTGCGGTGTGTGTTTAAAGGGGAGAGAGGGAGGGGGGTGTCGTCCACGCGGGTCGAAGCGCTGCGTGGGGAAGGGAAATCACGCGTGGTGTGTTAATTAAAACTAAAGGCGGCGCGGGGCCCTTTAATTAAATCAGGCGCGAGGCGGAGGCGCGAAAGCGACGGCGCGAAATGGCGGCGGCCGCGGCCCCGCGCTCGCTCATATAGCACAAAGCGGCGCTTCCCATTGGCTGGAGCCCTCCTAAACCCCGCCCTCCAGCGCTTCCCATTGGTTGTATTTCCCCTAAACCCCGCCCTCCCGCTCTCCTATTGGTTCCTCCTCACCGAAGCCACGCCCCCACCTCCTGAGGGGTCGCTGAGGGGGCGGGACGCTCCCTGTGATTGATTGACAGGGCAATCGACCAATGAGAAGCGAGGATAGAGGAGGATCGACCAATGGGAGCGCAGGGGGCGGGGCTTGTTCGTAATGGCGCGGGAGGGGTGAGAGGGGCGGCCTCGGGGGAGGAGGGGAGGATTTTGGGGTCGTTTTGGGGTCCCGAGGGGATTTGGGGGTCCCATGCGAGGATCAGGGGTCCCAGGGTGCTCTGGGGCTCCTGGAGGAGTTTGGGGGCGTTGGGAGGGTTTGGGGGCGTTGGAGGGATTTGGGTTGGGTTGGAGGTTGGGGGGATTTTCTGAGGAGTTTGGGGGTTTGGGGGGGATTATGAGGGAATTTTGGGGTCCGGGGGAAGTGAGGGGGTTTCTGCAGGGAGTTTGGGGGTTTTGAGGGAGTTTGGGGTCCAGGAGGAGTTCTGAGGGGGTTCTGAGAGATTTTGGGGGTCCTAGGGGGGGTTCTGAGGGGTTCTGGGGGTTCTGGGAGGGGAGTTTGGGGGGAATCTGAGGGAGTTTGGGGGGTCCTGAGGGGGGCAATCTGAGGGATTTGGGGGTCCTGGAGGAGTTTGAGGGGGTTCTGAGGGAGTTTGGGGGTCCTGGGGGGGTTCTGAGGGAGTTTGGGGGTCCTGGAGGAGTTTGGGGGGTTCTGAGGGATTTTGGGGGTCCTGAGGGGTTCTGGGGATTTTGGGGGGTCCTGAGGGGGTTCTGAGGAGTTTGGGGGTCCTGGAGGAGTTTGAGGGGTTCTGAGGGATTTTGGGGGTCCTGGGGGGTTTGAGGGGAATCTGAGGGATTTTGGGGGTCCTGGAGGAGTTTGGGGGATCTGAGGGGAGTTTGGGGGTCCTAGGGGGTTCTGAGGGAGTTTGGGGGTTCATGGAGGAGTTTGAGGGGTTCTGGAAGGAGTTTGAGGGTCGTGGGGGATTCTGAGGAGTTTGGGGGTCCTGGGGGGTTCTGAGGAGTTTGGGGGTCCTGAGGAGGGAGTTTGGGGGTTCTGAGAGGATTTGGGGGTTCAGGGAGTTTGGGGGTTCAGGGAGTTTGGGGGTCCTGAGGGGGTTTGGGGCGTCTGGAGGGATTTGGGGTTGGGTTTGGAGGTTGGGGGTTTTCTGAGGGAGTTTGGGGGATTTGGGGGGTTATGAGGAATTTTGGGGTCTGGGGGAGTTTGAGGGAGTTTCTGAGGGACTTTGGGGGGTTCTGAGGGACTTTGGGGCTCCAGGAGGAGTTTGGGGGTTCTGAGGAGTTTGGAGGTTTTGGGGGTTCTGAGGAGTTTGGGGGTTCAGGAGGAGTTTGGGGGTTCTGAGGGATTTTGGGGGTCCTGGGGGAGTTTGGGGGTTCTGAGGGATTTTGGGGGTCCTGGGGAGTTTGAGGGAGTTTGGGGGTCCTGGGGGGTTCTGAGGAGTTTGGGGGGTTCTGGGAGTTTGGGGGTTCTGAGGGAGTTTGGGGGTTCAGGAGGAGTTTGGGGGAGTTCTGAGGAGATTTTAGGGGTCCTGGGGGGGGAGTTTGGGGGTTCTGAGGAATTTGGGGGATTTGGGGAGTCTTGGGAGAGAGTTCTAGGGGTCTGAGGATTTTGGGGGTCCTGAGGGGATTTGGGGGTTCTGAGGAGTTTGGGGGTCCTAGGAGGGATTTGGGGGTTCTGAGGAGTTTGGGGGTCCTGGGGGGTTTGAGGAGTTTGGGGGTCCTGGGAGGAGTTTGGGGTTCTGAGGAGTTTGGGGGTCCTGGAGGAGTTTGGGGAGTCTGAGAGGAGTTTGGGGGTCCTGGGGGAGTTCTGAGGAGTTTGGGGGTTCTGGAGGGGTTTGGGGGAATCTGAGGGAGTTTGGGGGTCCTGGGAGGGGTTCTGAGGGAGTTTGGGGGTCCTGGGAGGAGTTTGGGGGTTCTGAGGAGTTTGGGGGTCCTGAGGGGTTTTGGGGATTTGGGGGTCCTGGGGGGTTTCAGAGGGAGTTTGGGGGTTCTGAGGGGGAGTTTGAGGGGTTCTGAGGGATTTGGGGGGTCCTGGGGAGTTTGGGGGTTCTGGAGGAATTTGGGGGTCCTGGAGGAGTTTGGGGGATCTGAGGGAGTTTGGGGGTCCTGAGGGGGTTCTGAGGAGTTTGGGGGGTTCTGAGGAGGAGTTCTGAGGGAGTTCTGAGGAGGAGTTTGAGGGGTCCTGGGGGATTCTGAAGGAGTTTGGGGGTCCTGGGGAGTTCTGGAGGGAATTTTGGGGGTCCTGGGGAGGAGTTTGGGGGTTCTGAGGGAATTTGGGGGTCCTGAGGGAGTTTGGGGGTTCTGGGAGGAGTTTGGGGGTCCTGGGGAGGTTCTGAAGGGGCTTGGGGGGAGTTTGGGGGTCCTGGGGATTTGGGGGTCCTGGGGGGAATTTTCTGAGGGAGTTCCTGGGGGATCTGGGGGTTCTGAGGAATTTTGGGGGTCCTGGGGGGAGTTGGGGGTGCTCTGAGGGATTTTGGGGGTTCTGGGGGAATTTGGGGGTCCTGGGGGAGTTTGGGGGTCCTGGGGGGGATTTGGGGGGATTTGGGGGGGTTCTGAGGGAGTTTGGGGGATTCAGGAGGAGTTTGAGGGGTTCTGAGGGAATTTTGGGGGTCCTGGGGGAGTTTTGAGGGGGTCCTGGGGGCAATTTGGGGTCCTGGGGTAGTTTTGGGGGAGTTTGGGGTCCTGGGGAGTTCTGAGGAGTTTGGGGAGGAGGTTGGGGGAGTTTGGGGGTTCTGAGGGAGTTTGGGGGTCTCAGGAGGAGTTTGGGGGTTCTGAGGAATTTTGGGGGTCCTGGGGGAGATTGGGGGTTCTGAGGGAATTTGAGCTGGGGGAATTTGGGGGTCCTGGGGGAGTTTGGGGGTCCTGGGTGGAATTCTGGGGAGTTTGGGGGTCCTGGGGAGTGGTCAATTTTGGGGTCCTGGGCGTTGGGGGTTCTGGGGGAATTTTGGGGTCCTGGGGAGTTTGGGGGTCCTGGGGGAATTTTGGGGTCCCTGGGAGGTTTGAGGGGAATTTTGGGGTCTTGGGGTTGTTTGAGGGGAATTTTGGGGTCCTGGCACAGTTTGGGGGTCCTGAGGAGGAATTTGGGGTGCCTTGGGTGGAATTTGGGGGTCCTGGGGGAATTTGGGGGTCCTGGCTGGAATTTGGGGGGTCCTGGGTGGAATTCAGGGGTCCTGGGTGGAATTTGGGGGTCCTGGGGGCAATTTTGGGGTCCCTGGGGAGGTTTAGGGGATCCTGGGTGGAATTTGGGGGTCCTGGGTGGAATTTGGGGGTCCTGGGGGGCAATTTGGGGTCCTGGGGTTGTTTAGGGGGAATTTTGGGGTCCTGGGGAGGTTGGGGTGTCCTGGGTGGAATTTGGGGGTCCTTGGGGGCAATTTTGGGGTCCCTGAGGGAGTTTGGGAGTCCTGGGTGGAATTTGGGTGCTCAGGGTGATTTTGGGGGTCCCAACCCCGAATTCCCCCATTTCAGCTCCCTGGCGGATCCAGATGTGCCCCCAGCTGTGGAGCCCCCCCAAACCCCCCCAGATGAGGAGGGGGAGGAGCCAAATCCAGATGTTGGGAGCCCAAAAACACCCAAAATTATCCTGAAAGACCCTGAAACTCCAGATGTGGTTGCAGAGCCCCCAAATCCAGATGTTTTGAGCCCTAAAAAGAGAATCCAGATGTTGATGATGGACAGTGACACAGATGTGGAAGAGGAGCCAAATCCAGATGTTGGGAGGCCCAAAACCGGGCTCCAGATGTTGCTGGTGGAGAGTGACACAGATGTGGAGGAGGAGGAGCCAAATCCAGATGTTGGGAGCCCAAAAACACCCAAAATTATTCTAAAAGTCCCTGAAAGTCCAGATGTGACAGCAGAGCCCCCAAATCCAGATGTTTTGGGGGCCAAAAACAGGATCCAGATGTTTTCAGCTGGAGAGTGACACAGATGTGGAGGAGGAGGAGCCAAATCCAGATGTTGGGGGCCCAAAAACACCCAAAATTATCCTAAAAGACCCAGAAACTCCAGATGTGGCAGCAGAGCCCCCAAATCCAGATGTGGGGGCCAAAAATGAGATCCAGATGTTCTCAGTGGACAGTGACACAGATGTGGAGGAGGAGGAGCCAAATCCAGATGTTGGGGGCCCAAAAACACCCAGAATTTTCCTGAAAGACCCTGAAACTCCAGATGTGGTTGCAGAGCCCCCAAATCCAGATGTTTTGGGGGCCAAAATTAGGATCCAGATGTTCTCAGTGGAGAGTGACACAGATGTGGAGGAGGAGGAGCCAAATCCAGATGTTGGGGGCCAAAAACACCCAAAATTATCTTAAGAGTGCCTGATACTCCAGATGTGGCAGCAGAGCCCCCAAATCCAGATGTTTGGGGGGCCAAAAAGGGAATCCAGATGTTCTCAGTGGAGAGTGACACAGATGTGGAGGAGGAGGAGCCAAATCCAGATGTTGGGATCTCAAAAACGCCCAAAATTATCCTAAGAGTGCCTGAAACTCCAGATGTGACAGCAGAGCCCCCAAATCCAGATGTTGGGAGGCCCAAAAATGGGATCCAGATGTTCTCAGTGGACAGTGACACAGATGTGGAAGAGGAGAACCAAAATCCAGATGTTGGGGGCCCAAAAACACCCAAAATGACCCAAAAAACCCCCAAAACTCCAGATGTGGCAGCAGAGCCCCCAAATTCAGATGTTTTGGGACCCAAAAAAGGGCTCCAGATGTTGGTGGTGGACAGTGACACAGATGTGGAAGAGGAGGAAGCAAATCCAGATGTTGGGGGCCCAAAAAGGACCAAAATGACCCCAAAAACACCCAGAATGGCCCTAAATGTTCCTGAAAGTCCAGATGTGGAAGCAGAACCCCCAAATCCAGATGTTTTGGGAGCCAAAAATGGGATCCAGATGTTCTCAGTGGAGAGTGACACAGATGTGGAGGAGGAAGACCCAGATGTGGCCACCCAGCTGTTTCTGCCCCATCCAGATGTGCAGGAGGAGGGGGAGGATCAGATGTGGCCACCCAGCTGTTCCTGCCCCATCCAGATGTGCAGGAGGAGGAGGATCAGATGTTGGGCTCCCCAAACTCCTGCGGGCAGGGCCGGATCCAGATGTGGCCCCAGAGCCCCCCAGTCCAGATGTTCTGGGGCCCCAACACCCAGAGGAGGAGGAGGAAGATCCAGATGTGGCCACCCAGCTGTTCTTGTCCCCTCATCCAGATGTGGAAGGCGAAGAAGAGGACCCAGATGTTTCTCCACCCCCAAAAAGACCCAAAATGGCCCCAAACCCCCCAGGAATTCCAGATGTGACTCCAGGAGCATCAAATCCAGATGTGCAAGAGGAAGAGAGGGAGGAGGATCCAGATGTGGCCACCCAGCTGTTCCTCCCTCATCCAGATGTTCAGGAGGAGCCCAATGCAGATGTTGGACCCCCAGACCCCCCCAGAGCTCCAGATGTGGCCCCAGAGCCCCCCAATCCAGATGTTCTGGGGCCCCAACACCCAGAGGAGGAGGAGGAAGATCCAGATGTGGCCACCCAGCTGTTTCTGCCCTATCCAGATGTGGAAGAGAGAGAGGAGGATCCAGATGTTTCCCCACCCCCAAAAAGAGCCAAAACGACCCCAAAACCCCCAGGGATTCCAGATGTGGCCCCAGAGACTTCAAATCCAGATGTTTTGGGACCCCCAGAGCCCCTCACAGCTCCAGATGTGACCCCAGAGCTCTCAAATCCAGATGTGCAAGAGGAAAGACCAGAGGAAGATCCAGATGTTTCTCCACCCCCAAAAAGACCCAAAAGGACCCAAAACCCCCAGGGATTCCAGATGTGGCCCCAAGGCCCCCCAATCCAGATGTGCAGGAGGAAGAGAAAGAGGAGGATCCAGATGTGGCCACCCAGCTGTTCCTCCCTGATCCAGATGTGGAAGAGAGAGAAGAAAACCCAGATGTTCCAGCCCCAAAAAGACCCAAAATGGCCCCCAAATCCCCGGGGATTGCAGATGTGGCCCCAGAGCCCATCAATCCAGATGTTCTGGGACCCAAACCACTGGAGGAGGAGGAGGAAGATCCAGATGTGGCCACCCAGCTGTTCCTCCCTGATCCAGATGTGGAATTGAGAGAGGAGAATCCAGATGTTCCAGCCCCAAAAAGACCCAAAACAATCTCAAAATCCCCAGGGACTCCAGATGTGGCCCCAGGGGCATCAAATCCAGATGTGCAGGAAGAGGATCCCAATCCAGATGTTTCTCCACCCCCAAAAAGACCCAGAACAACCCCAAAACCCCCAGCAATTCCAGATGTGGCCCCAGAGCCCATCAATCCAGATGTTTTGGATCCCCAACCCCTGGAGGAGAAGGAGGAAGATCCAGATGTGGCCACCCAGCTGTTCCTCCCTGATCCAGATGTGGAAGAAAAAGATGAGGATCCAGATGTTTCTCCACCCCCAAAAAGACCCAAAAGGGCCCCAAAACCCCCAGGGATTCCAGATGTGGCCCAAGATCCTTCCAATCCAGATGTTTTGGGACCCCCAGACCCCCTTACAGCTCCAGATGTGACCGCAGAGCTCTCAAATCCAGATGTGCAGGAGGAAAGACCAGAGGAAGATCCAGATGTTTCTCCACCCCCAAAAAGACCCAAAATGGCCCCAAAACCCCCAGGGATTCCAGATGTGGCCCCAGAGCCTCCCAATCCAGATGTTTTGGAGCCCCAACCCCCAAGAGAAAATCCAGATGTTGCTCCCCCCCCTAAAAAAAGGCCCAGGAGGGCCCCAAAACCCCCAGGAATTCCAGATGTGGCCCCAAATCCAGAGGTGGGATTTTTTGGGGGGAATTTGGGGAGGATTCTGGAGGGATTTTTGGTTGATTTTGGGAAGATTTTTGGGGCATTTTGGGGGGAGTTGTGAAGGTTTTCAGGGGGATTTTGGGGATTTTAGGGGGATTTGGGGAGTTTGGGAGATTTGGTGGAGATTTTGGGGGGTTTTTGGAAGATTTTTTGGGGGGATTTTGGGGGAGTTTTTGGGTGATTTTTGGGGGATTTTGGGGAGATTTTAGGGAATTTGGGGGATTTTGGGGGATTTTGATCGGATTTTGGGGAGTTTTGGGAGATTTTGGGGGAGATTTTGGGGGGATTTGGGGGATTTTGGGGAGATTTTGGGGAATTTGGGGATTTTGGAGATTTTAGGGTGATTTGGGGAGTTTTTGTGAGATTTTGGAGAGATTTTAGGGAGATTTTGGGGAGATTTTGGGGAGATTTGGGGGATTTTGGGGAGATTTTGGGGGATTTGGGGATTTTGGGGAGGATTTGGGAGAGATTTTGGGGAGGATTTGGGGGAATTTTGGGGGATTTGGGTGATTTTGGGGAATTTTGGGAGTTTGGGGATTTTGGGGATTTTGGGGGATTTTGAGGAGATTTTGTGAAATTTTGGCGGGAATTTGGGGGGATTTAGAGGATTTTGGGGAGATTTGGGGAATTTTGGAGTGATTTTGAGTGGATTTTGGGGGAATTTTGGGTGGATTTGGGTGATTTTGTGCAGATTTTAGGGGGATTTGTGGAGATTTGGAGATTTTGGGAGATTTTGAGGGATTTTGGGGAGTTTGGGAGATTTTGGGCATTTTAGGGAATTTGGGGAGATTTTGGGAAATTTGGAGAGATTTTGGGGATTTTGGAGGATTTTGGGACATTTTGGGGGATTTGAGATTTGGGGTGATTTTGGAGAGATTTTGGGAGATTTGGTTAGAATTTTGAGAGGATTTTAGGGAGATTTTGCAGGATTTTGGGGGATTTTGGCGGATTTGGGAAGATTTTGGGGATTTTGAGGAGCATTTGGGGAAGATTTTGGGTGGATTTGGGGAGATTTTAGGGAGATTTTGGGGAGATTTTGGGATTTTGGGATTTTGAGTGGATTTTGGGAGAAATTTTGGGGGATTTGGGGGAGGATTTTGGGGAGATTTTGAGGATTTTGGGGGAATTGTGGGGATTTTGGGAGGATTTTGGGGGATTTTGAAGATTTTGGGGAGATCTTTGGGAGATTTTTAGGAGGAATTTGGGGGATTTGTGAAGATTTTAGGGTGATTTTGGGGGATTTTGGGGGATTTTGGGGAGATTTTGGGGGGATTTTGGGAGGATTTTGGAGATTTTGGGGGATTTTGAGGGGAGTTTTTGGGAGATTTTGGGAGATTTGGGGAATTTAGGAATTTTGGAGGGGATTTCTGGGAGATTTGGGGAGATTTTGAGAGAATTTTGGGGGAGATTTTGGGGGAATTTGGAGGGATTTTGGGGAGATTTTGAGGGATTTTGGGGGATTGTGGGAGATTTTGGGGGGATTTTTGGGAGAATTTTGGGAGGATTTTGGGAGATTTTGGGAATTTGGGGAGATTTGGGGAGATTTTGGGGAATTTTGGGGGGATTTTGAGGGGATTTGAGGGAGATTTTGGGGAGATTTGTGGACATTTTGGGGAGGATTTTGGGGGATTTTGGGGAGATTTTGGGGAAGATTTGGGGAGATTTTGAGGAGGATTTGGGGGAGATTTTGGGGGGATTTTGGGGAGATTTTGGGGGATTTTGGAGATTTTGGGGGATTTTGAGGGAATTTTGGGGAGATTTTGGGGGGATTTGGGGGAATTTTGGGAGATTTGGGGAGATTTTGGGGAGGATTTTGGGGAGATTTGGGGTGAATTTGGGAGAGAATCTGAGAACATTTTGGAGGAGAATTTGGGGGGATTTTGGGGAGATTTTAGGGAGATTTTGGGGATTTTGGGGGGATTTTGGGGAGATTTTGGGGCGAGTATGGGGAGATTTTGGGGGGATTTTGGGGAGGGTTTGGGGAGATTTTGGGGAGTTTTTGGGAGATTTTGGGGGGATTTTTGGGAAGATTTTGGGGGATTTTGGGGAGATTTTGGGGAGATTTGAGTGATTTTGGGGGGATTTCAGTGATTTTTGGGGGGATTTTGGGGAGAATTTTGGGGAGATTTGGGGAGACTTTTGGAGGATTTGGGGTGAATTTTGGAGAGATTTTTAGGGAGGATTTTGGGAGGATTTTGGGTTTTGGGAGATTTTTAGGGGATTTTGGGTCAAATTTGGGGGAATTTTTGGACAATTTTGGGGTTGATTTTGGGAGGATTTTGGGGGGGTTTTTGGGGGGTCTCAGATTAATTTTGAGGGGTTTTTTTCCCCCTCCCCCTCAGTTGCGTCGCAGCCTCCGATTGGCCGGGAGGACCCGAGGGCGGAGCCTCCGCCGACCCCACCCCCTCTAAAAAGGGGCGTGGCCAGCCCACCCCCAAGCCACGCCCACCCAAGAAGAGGAAGCTCCAGGTGGGGGCGGGGTCTTTGTATGCAAATGAGGTGGGAGGGGCTTCAGGGAGGGGTGGGGGTTAAAAAGGGGGCGTGGCCTCAACTTTTGGCTCCGCCCACAGGAGGAGGAGCCTGAAGAGGAGGGGGCGGGGCCTGAAGAGGAGGGCGGGCCTGAAGAGGAGGGGCGGGCCTGAAGAGGAGGGCGGGGCCTGAGGGAGGCGGGCCTGAGGAGGAGGGCGGAGCCTGAAGAGGAGGGGGCGGAGCCTGAGGAGGAGGAAGGGGCGGGGCCAGCAGGGGGCGCCCGGCGCAGGCTCCGCCCCCGCGCCGCCAAAGACCACGCCCACGTGAGGGTAAGGGACCAGTTTGGACCAGTTTGGACCAGTATGGACCAGTATGGACCAGTGACCCCTCAGTGACCTCCCAGTGACCTCCCAGTGTGTCCCAGTTCATCCCAGTATGGACCAGTAGGGACCAGTGACCCCCCAGTTCATCCCAGTATGGATTAGTGAACCCCCCAGTTCATCCCAGTGAGCCCCCAGTGTGTCCCAGTTCATCCCAGTATGGACCAGTAACCCCCCCAGTGGCTTTCCAGTTCATCCCAGTGACCTCCCAGTGTGTTCCAGTATGGACCAGTATGGACCAGTGACCCCCTCAGTTCATCCCAGTGAGCCCCCAGTGTGTCCCAGTTCATCCCAGTATGGACCAGTATAGACCAGTATGGACCAGTAACCCCCCCCAGTGACCTCCCAGTGTGTCCCAATTGATACCAGTATGGACCAGTATGGACCAGTATGGACCAGTGACGCTCCCAGTGACCTCCTAGTGTGTCCCAGTTCATCCCAGTATGGACCAGTATAGACCAGTATGGACCAGTGACCCTCCCAGTGACCTCCCGGTGACCTCTCAGTGTGTCCCAGTTCATTCCAGTATGGACCAGTATGGACCAATGACCCTCCCAGTGACCTCCCAGTGAGCCCCCAGTGTGGACCAGTTCATCCCAGTTTGGACCAGTATGGACCAGTATGGACCAGTAACCCCCCCCAGTGACCTCCCAGTGTGTCCCAGTTCATCCCAGTATGGACCAGTATGGACCAGTGACCCCCCCAGTGGCTTTCCAGTTCATCCCAGTGATCTCCCAGTGTGTCCCAGTTCATCCCAGTATGGACCAGTATGGACCAGTAACCCCCAGTGGCTTTCCAGTTCATCCCAGTGACCTCCCAGTGTGTTCCAGTATGGACCAGTATGGGCCAGTGACCTCCCCAGTTCATCCCAGCGAGCCCCCAGTGTGTCCCAGTTCATCCCAGTGTGGACCAGTATGGACCAGTGACCTCCCCAGTGACCTCCCAGTGAGCTCCCAGTGTGTCCCAGTTCATCCCAGTGTGGACCAGTGAGCCCCCAGTGACCTCCCAGTTCATCCCAGTGACCTCCCATTTCATCCCGGTATGGACCAGTATGGACCAATAACCCTTCCAGTGACCTCCTAGTTCATCCCAGTATGGACCAGTATGGACCAGTAACCCCCCCAGTGACCTCCCAGTGAGCCCCCAGTGTGGCCCAGTTCATCCCAGTATGGACCAGTATGGACCAGTAGCCTCCCCAGTGACCTCCCAGTGAGCCCCCAGTGTGTCCCAGTTCATCCCAGTATGGACCAATATGGACCAGTGACCCTCCCAGTGACCTTCCAGTGTGTCCCAGTTCATCCCAGTATGGACCAATATGGACCAGTGACCCTCCCAGTGACCTTCCAGTGTGTCCCAGTTCATCCCAGTATGGACCAATATGGACCAGTGACCCTCCCAGTGACCTCCTAGTTCATCCCAGTATGGACCAGTGACCCCTCAGTTCATCCCAGTAACCCCTCAGTGACCTCCCAGTTCATCCCAGTTCATCCCAGTGACCCCAAATCCCCCCAAAGTGTCCCCAAAGTGTCCCCAAATCCCCCCAAATCCCCCCAAAATCCCCAAATCCCCCAAAGTGTCCCCAAATCCCCCAAAGTGTCCCCAAATCTCCCCAAAGTGACCCCAAATCCCCCAAATGACCCCAAATCCCCCAAAGTGACCCCAAAATGACCCAAAATGACTTAAATCCCCCAAAGTGTCCCCAAATCCCCCAAAGTGACTCAAATGTTCCCAAATGGCGTCAAAATGACCCCAAATCCCCCAAAATGACCCCAAATCCCCCTAAAATGACTCAAATCCCCCAAGTGACCCCAAACCCCCAAAGTGTCCCAAACCCCCAAAGTGACCCAAACCCCCAAAATGATCCCAAATCCCCCAAAGTGTCCTAAGGTGTCTTTTTTGACCCCAAATCCCCCAAAGTGACTCAAACTCCCCCAAAGTGACCCCAAATCCCCCCAAAATGATCCCAAATGACCCCAAATCCCCTCAGATTTGTCCCCAAATCCCATTTTTGTGTCCCCAGGTTCTGTTCAGGCCGTGGTGGCCTCAGGGTCCCTCCTGCTAGCCCTGGGCTCCTGGGAGGCTCGGTGGCCTCGGGGCTGTCCCAAAGTGACCCCAAATCCTCAAAATGTCCCAAATCCCCAAAGTGATCCCAAATCCCCCAAAATGATCCCCAAATCCCCCAAAATGTCCCCAAATCCCCCAAAATGACCCCAAATCCCCCAAAATGACCCCAAATCCCTCAAAGTGTCCCCAAATCCCCAGAACTGTCCCCAAAATGTCCCCAAATTCCCCCAAAGTGACCCCAAATGACCCCAAAGTGACCCCAAATCCCCCAAAATGATCCCAAATCCCCCAAATGATCCCAAATCCCCAAAGTGACCCCAAATCCCCCAAAATGACCCCAAATCCCCCAAAGTGACCCCAAATAACCCCAAAGTGATCCCAAATCCCCCAAAATGACCCCAAATGTCCCCAAATCCCCAAATGACCCCAAATGCCCCAAAGTGACCTAAATCACCCCAAAGTGACCCCAAATCCCCCAAATGTCCCCAAAATGCCCCCAAATGCCCCCAAATCCCCCAAAGTGACCCCAAATCCCCCAAAATGACCCCAAATCCCCCAAAGTGACCCCAAAATGACCCCAAATGTCCCCAAAGTGTCCCCAGATGTCCCCAAATCTTCCTAAAATGACCCCAAATCCCCCCAAAGTGACCCCAAATCCCCCCAAAGTGACCCCAAAATGACCCTCAAATCCCCCAAAGTGTCCCTAAAGTGTCTTTTTTTGACCCCAAATCCCCCTAAAATGACCCCAAATCCCCCCAAAGTGTCCCTAAGGTGTCTTTTTTTGACCCCAAATCCCCCCAAAATGCGCCCAAAATGACCCCAAATCCCCCCAAAGTGACCCCGAATGACCCCAAAATTTCCCCAAATCCCCCCAAATCCCCTCAAATCCCCCCAAAAATGTGATTTTCTCATCCCCAGGTTCTGTTCACGGGCGTGGTGGCCTCGGGGTCCCTGCTGCTGGCCCTGGGCTCCTGGGGAGCTCGGTGGCCCTCGGGGCTGTCCCCAAAGTGACCCCAAATCCCCCAAAATGACCCCAAATCCCCCCAAAGTGACCCCAAATCTCCCCAAATCCCCCCAAAGTGTCCCCAAATCCCCCAAAGTGACCCCAAATCCCCCCAAAATGACCCCAAATGTTCCCAAATCTCCCCAAAGTGTCCCCAAATTGTGCCTTTTTGTCCCCAAAGTGTCCCCAAATCCCCCCAAAGTGTCCCCAAAATGACCCCAAATCCCCCAAAGTGACCCCAAACTCCCCAAAGTGACCCCAAATCCCCCCAAAGTGACCCCAAATCCCCCTCAATGACCCCAAAGTGTCCCCAAATCCCCCCAAAGTGTCCCCAAATGCCCCCAAATCCTCCCAAAATGACCCCAAATCCCCAGAACTGTCCCCAAAATGTCCCCAAATCCCCCAAAATGTCCCCAAATCCCCCAAAGTGACCCCAAATCCCCCAAAATGTCCCCAAAGTGACCCCAAAGTGACCCCAAATCCCCCAAAATGACCCCAAACTCCCAAATCACCCAAAGTGTCCCCAAAGCCCCCAAAGTGACCCCAAAATGACCCCAAATCCCCCAAAATGTCCCCAAATCCACCCAAAGTGACCCCAAAATGACCCCAAATCCCCCAAAATGTCCCCAAATCCCCTCCAAAGTGACCCCAAATCCCCCAAAGTGACCCCAAATCCCCCAAAGTGACCCCAAATCCCCCAAAATGATCCCCAAATCCCCCAAAATGACCCCAAATCCCCTCAAATCATCCCCAAAGTGACCCAAAATGTTCCCAAACTGACCCCAATCACCCCAAAGTGTACCCAGAGTGATCCCAAAGTGTCCCCAAATGTCCCCAAATCCCCCCAAAGTGTCCCCAAATCCCCCAAAATGACCCCAAATCCCCCAAGTGACCCCAAATCTCCCCAAAATGACCCCAAATCCCCCAAAGTGTCCCCAAATCCCCCAAAGTGACCCCAAATCCCCCAAAGTGTCCCAAATCCCCAAAATGACCCCAAATCCCCCAAAGTGACTCCAAATCCCCCAAAGTGTCCCCAAATCCCCTAAAATGATCCCAAATCCCCCAAAGTGTCCCCAAATCCCCCAAAATGTTCCCAAATCCCCAGAATGACCCCAAATGCCACCAAAATGACCCCAAATCCCCCAAAATGATCCCCAAAGTGTCCCCAAATCCCCCCAAAATGACCCCAAATCCCCCAAAATGACCCCCAAATCCCCCAAAGTGTCCCCAAATCCCCCAAAATGACCCCAAATCCCCCAAAGTGTCCCAAATCCCCAAAATGTCCCCAAAATGTCTTTTTTTGTCCCCAAATCCTGTTTTTTGTGTCCCCAGGTTCTGTTCACGGGCGTGGTGGCCTCGGGGTCGCTGCTGCTGGCCCTGGGCTCCCTGGGGGGCTCGGTGGCCTCGGGGCTGTCCCCAAAGTGACCCCAAATCCCCCCAAAATGACCCCAAATCCCCCCAAAGTGACCCCAATGTCCCCAAACTGACCCCAAAGTGTCCCCAAAATGTCCCCAAATGCCCAGATCTGTCCCCAAATCCCCCCAAAGTGACCCCAAATCCCCCCTAAATGACCCCAAATGTCCCCAAATCCCCTCAATGTCCCCAAAGTGTCCCCAAATCCCCCAAAGTGACCCCAAATGACCCCAAATCCGCCCAAAGTGTCCCCAAATGACCCCAAATCCCCCCAAAGTGACCCCAAATCCCCCAAAGTGTCTCAAATTGTCCCTTTTTGTCCCCAAAGTGTCCCCAAATCCCCCAAAGTGTCCCCAAATGCCCCCAAATCCCCCAAACTGTCCCCAAATCCCCCAAACTGTCCCCAAATCCCCCAAAGTGTCCCTAAGGTGTCTTTTGACCCCAAATCCCCCAAAGTGACCCCAAAGTGTCCCCAAATCCCCCAAAGTGTCCCTAAAGTGTCTTTTTTTGACCCAAATCCCCCCAAAATGACCCCAAATGTCCCCAAATCCCCCCAAACTGTCCCCAAAATGTCCCAAAATGACCCCAAATCCCCCCAAAGTGTCTCAAATTGTCCCTTTTTGTCCCCAAAGTGTCCCCAAATCCCCCAAAATCCCTCAAATCCCCCAAAATGATTTCAAATCCCCCAAAATGACCCCAAATCCCCCCAAAATGACCCCAAATCCCCTCAAATCCCCCCAAAAATGTGATTTTTCTCATCCCCAGGTTCTGTTCACGGGCGTGGTGGCCTCGGGGTCGCTGCTGCTGGCCCTGGGCTCCCTGGGGGGCTCGGTGGCCTCGGGGCTGTCCCCAAAGTGACCCCAAATCCCCCCAAAGTGTCCCCAAATCCCCCCAAAGTGACCCCAAAATGACCCCAAAGTGTCCCCAAAATGACCCCAAAGAGTCCCCAAACTGTCCCCAAAGTGTCCCTAAATGTCCCCAAAATGACCCCAAATCCCCCCAAAATGTCCCCAAAGTGTCCCCAAAGTGACCCCAAATCCCCAAAATGACCCCAAATCCCCCAAAGTGACCCCAAATCCCCAAAGTGACCCCAAATCCCCCAAAGTGACCCCAAATCCCCCAAAGTGACCCCAAATCCCCCAAAATGACCCCAAATCCCCCAAATCCTCCCAAAATCCCCCAAAGTGACCCCAAATCCCCCAAAGTGACCCTAAATCCCCCAAAATGTCCCCAAACCCCCAAAGTGTCCCCAAATGTCCCCAAAGTGTCCCCAAATCCCTCCAAAGTGTCCCCAAATCCCCCCAAAGTGACCCCAAACTCCCCCAAAGTGACCCCAAATTCCCCAAAATGATCCCAAATGACCCCAAACCCCCCCAAAGTGTACCCAAATCCTCCCAAAGTGACCCCAAATCCCCCCAAAGTGTCCCCAAATCCCCCCAAAATGACCCCAAATCCCCCCAAAGTGTCCCCAAATGACCCCAAATCCCCCCAAAGTGTCCCTAAAGTGTCTTTTTTTGACCCCAAATCCCCCCAAAATGACCCCAAATCCCCTCAAATCCCCCCAAAATGTCCCAAAATTGTGATTTTTCTGATCCCCAGGTTCTGTTCACGGGCGTGGTGGCCTCGGGGTCCCTCCTGCTGGCCCTGGGCTCCCTGGGGGGCTCGGTGGCCTCGGGGCCCGGGGACTGCACCCACCTGGTGGCCCGGGGGGCTCACAGGACCCTCAAATTCCTCTGTGCCCTGGCCAGGGGGGTCCCCATCGTCACCCCAAGATGGATCACTGAGGTTTGGGGTCATTTTGGGGGATTTGGGGAAAATTTGGGAAGATTTGGGGTCATTTTGGGGGGATTTGGGGTCATTTTGGGAGGGATTTGGGGGGATTTGGGATCATTTTGGGGGATTGAGAGGATTTGGGTCATTTGAGGTCACTCTAGAGGCTCACAGGACCCTCAAATTCCTCTGTGCCCTGGCCAGGGGGTCCCTATCGTCACTCCAAGATGGATCACTGAGGTTTGGGGGATTTTGGGAGGATTTGGGGATTTGGGATCATTTGGGGGGATTTGGGAGTCATTTGAGGGATTTGAGAGTCACTTGGGGATTTAGGTCATTGAGGGTCACTTTGGGGGCTCACTAGGACCTCAAATTCCTCTGTGCCCTGGCCAGGGGGTCCTCCATCGTCACCCCAAGATGGATCACTGAGGTTTGGGGGGTTTGAGGATTTAGGGAAAATTTGGGGGATTTGGGGTCATTTTGAGGGATTTGGGGGATTTGAGGTCACTTTGGGGATTTGAGGACACTAGGGGGATTTGAGGTCACTTGGGGACATTTGGAGTCACTTTGGGGGATTTGGGGTCACTTTGGGGGATTTGGAGTCACTTTGAGGGATTTGAGGTCATTTGAGATCATTTGAGGTCATTTGGAGGCTCACAGGACCCTCAAGTTCCTCTGTGCCCTGGCCAGGGGGGTCCCCATCGTCACCCCACGGTGGATCACTGAGGTTTGGGGGGATTTGGGGGGATTTGGGGTCACTTTGGGGATTTGGGGTCACTTTGGGGATTTGGGTCATTTTGGGACAGTTTGGGATCATTTTAGGAAGATTTGGGGTCATTGGGGATTTGGGGGATTTGGGGACACTTTGGGGGGAGTTTGGGGATCATTTAGGGAAGATTTAGGAAGATTTAGGGACATTTTGGGGACACTTTGGAGGGATTTGGGGTCATTTGGGGGGATTTGGGGTCATTTGGGGAGGATTTGGGGTCATTTTGGGGGATTTGGGGTCACTTTGGGGGATTTAGTCATTTGGGGTCACTTTGGGGGGCTCACAGGACCCTCAAGTTCCTCTGTGCCCTGGCCAGGGGGGTCCCCATCGTCACCCCACGGTGGATCACTGAGGTTTGGGGTCATTTTGGGAGGATTTGGGGGAAAATTTGGGGGGATTTGGGGTCACTTTGGGGGGATTTGGGGTCATTTTGGGGGATTTGGGGTCATTTGGGGATTTGGGGTCATTTTGGGGAGATTTGGGGTCACTTTGGGGGATTTGGGGATTTGGGGTCACTTTGGGGGGATTTGGGATCATTTTGGGGGATTTGGGGACACTTTGGGGGATTTGGGATCATTTTGGGGGATTTGGGGACACTTTGGGGATTTGGGGTCATTTTGGAGGATTTGGGGGATTTGGGGTCACTTTGGGGTCATTTTGGGGGGATTTGGGATCATTTTGGGGGGATTTGGGGTCATTTTGGGGGGATTTGGGGACACTTTGGGGGGATTTGGGGACAGTTTGGGGTCATTGAGGGGGATTTGGGGACATTTTGGGGTGATTTGGGGTCATTTTGGGGACATTTGGGGACACTTTGGGGGGATTTGGGGTCATTTTGGGGGATTTGGGGATTTGGGGTCACTTTGGGGTCATTTGGGGGATTTGGGATCATTTTGGGGGATTTGGGGTCATTTGGGGGATTTGGGGTCACTTTGGGGTCACTTTGGGGGATTTGAGGGGCATTTGGGGGATTTGGGACACTTTGGGGGATTTGGGGATTTGGGATCATTTTGGGGGATTGGGGTCATTTTGGGGTCATTTGGGAGGATTTGGGGTCATTTTGGGACACTTTGGGGGATTTGGGGTCATTTTGGGGGGATTTGGGGTCATTTTGGGGTCATTTGGGGTCACTTTGGGGGCTCTGGAGCTCACTCTGTGCCCTGGCCAGGGGTCCCCATCGTCACTCCGGTGGATCACTCAGGTTTGGGGGTTTGGGGACATTTGGGGGGATTTGGGGGGATTTGGGGTCACTTTGGGGGATTTGGGGTCATTTTGGTGGGATTTGGGGTCACTTCTAGGGGACATTTGGGGTCATTTTGGGGATTTGGGGTCACTTTGGGGGATTTGGGGTCATTTGGGGGCACTTTGGGGACATTTGGGGTCACTTTGGGGTCATTTTGGGGGCATTTTGGGGATTTGGGGTCATTTTGGGGGATTTGGGGTCACTTTGGGGTCATTTGGGGGAGATTTGAGGGGATTTGGGGTCACTTTGGGGATTTGGGGGATTTGGGGTCATTTTGGGGGATTTGGGGATTTGGGGTCATTTTGGGATCATTGGGGGATTTGGGGTCATTTGGGCATTTGGGGGAAGATTTGGGAGATTTGGGGGTCATTTGGATTTGGGGTCATGGGGTCATAGGACACTTGGGCCTTGAGGGGTCATTTACGGTGGGACATTTGGGGTTTGGGGGCATTTGGGGGATTTGGGGATTTGGGATGCTGGGATTGGTCATTTGTGGGGTCAATTTGGGGCATTTGGGGTCACTTGGGGATTTGGGGCACTTTGGGGATTTGGGGTCATTTGGGGGGCTTGGGGACACTGGGATTTGAGATCATTTTGAGGACATTTTGGGGGATTTGGGGACACTTTGGGGGATTTGGGGATCATTTTGGGGGATTTGGGGACACTTTGGGGGATTTGGGGTCATTGAGGATTTGGGGTCAGTTTGGGGGTTTGGGTCATTTTGGGGAGATCTGGGGACACTTTGGGGGATTTGGGGTCACCTGGATTTGGGGACACTTTGGGGAGATTTGGGGTCATTGAGGGGATTTGGGGTCAGTTTGGGGGATTTGGGGTCATTTGGGGAGATTTGGGGACACTTTGGGGGATTTGGGGTCATTTTGGGACAGTTTGGGATCATTTTAGGAAGATTTGGGGTCATTTAGGGTCACTTTGGGGGATTTGAGGGGGATTTGGGGGATTTGGGGACACTTTGGGAGGATTTGGGGATTTGGGGTCATTTTGGGGATTGGGGGATTTGGGGTCATTTGGGGACATTTTGGGGACATTTGGGTCACTTTGGGGATTTGGGGACACTTTGGGGGATTTGGGGACATTTTAGGAAGATTTGGGGTCACTTTGGGGTCACTTTGAGGAGTCATTTTGGGGGATTTGGGGACATTTTGGGGGATTTGGGGTCACTTTGGGGACATTTGGGGTCACTTTGGGGGATTTGGGATCACTTTGGGGGGATTTGGGGATCACTGGGATGAACTGGGGACAGAGGAACTTGAGGGTCCCCAAAATGTCCCCAAATCCCCAAATTCCCCAAAATCCTCCCCAAATCCCCCAAATCCCCAAATCCCCCAAATCCCCCAAAATCCCCAAACCCCCTCAAATCCCCCCAAATCCCCCAAAATCCCCCAAATCCCCCAAAATGTCCCCAAAATCCCCCAAAAATCCCCCCAAAATCCCCTCAAATCCCCCAAAATGTCCCCAAATCCTCCAAATCCCCCAAATCCCCCAAAACCCCCCCAAAATGTCCCCAAATCCCCTAAAATCCCCCAAAATGACCCCAAATCCCCAAAATGTCCCCAAATCCCCCAAAATCCCCCAAAACCCCCCCAAAATCCCCCTCCCATTTTCTGTGTCCCCAGAGCCGGCTCTGGGGTCGTTTTTTGTCCCCGGGGCCGTTCCTGGTCCGGGACCCCCCCCGGGAGAAACTTTTTGGGTTCCGCCTGCGCCCGGCGCTGGAGAGAGCTCGGACACGGCCCCTGCTGCAGGTGAGGGCACTTAATTGGCGTTTAATTAGCATTTATTGGCATTTAATTAGCATTGATTGGCTCGGACACGGCCCCTGCTGCAGGTGAAGGCACTTAATTGGTGTTTAATTAGCATTTAGTGGCGTTTAATTAGCATTTAGTGGCTTTTAATTAGCATTTATTGGCATTTAATTGTCATTTATTGGCACTTCATTAACAGTTATTGGCTGGGACACGGCCCCTGCTGCAGGTGAAAAGGGCAGAAAATAGACCCAAAATGCACCAAAAATGGCATTTATTGGGGTTTATTGGCATTTAATTAGCATTTAGTGGCATTTAATTAGCATTTAATGGCATTTAATTAGCATTTAGTGGTGTTTATTGGCGTTTATTGGCAGTTAATTAGCATTTAATTGGCATTTATTGGACCCAAAATGGACCAAAAATGGCATTTATTGGCATTTCATTAGCAGTTATTGGCGTTTTTTGGTATTTAATTACCATTTATTGGCACTTAATGATCATTTATTGGCACTGAATTAGCATTGATTGGCATTTAATTTGCATTTAGTGGCATTTATTGATCAGTTATTGGGGTTTATTGGCACTTAACTAGCAGTTATTGGCATTTAATTAGCATTTATTGGTGGTTATTTATCATTTATTGGCATTTATTGGCAGTTAATTAGCATTTAGTGGCTTTTAATTAGCATTTATTGGCATTTAGTTATCATTTATTGGTGTTTATTGGCATTTATTGGCATTTAATTAGCATTGATTGGCTCGGACACGGCCCCTGCTGCAGGTAAATGGTGTTTATTGATCAGTTATTGGGGTTTAATTAGCATTTATTGATCACTTATTGGGGTTTATTGGCACTTCATTATCATTGATTGGCTCGGACACAGCCCCTGCTGCAGGTGAAAAGGGCAGAAAATGGACTAAAAATGGCATTTATTGGCATTTATTATCATTTATTGGCATTTAATTAGCATTTATTGGCATTTAATTAGCATTTAGTGGCATTTGATTATCATTTATTGGTATTTATTGGCATTTAATTATCATTTATTGGCATTTAATTAGCATTGATTGGCATTTATTGGACCCAAAATGGACCAAAAATGGCATTTATTGGCATTTATTGACATTTAGTTATCATTGATTGGCATTTAGTTATCATTTATTGGCAGTTATTGGCACTTAATTATCGCTTATTGGTGTTTAGTTATCATTTACTAGCATTTAATTGTCATTTATTGGCACTTAGTTGTCATTTATTGGCACTTAATTAGCATTTATTGGCACATAATTAGCATTTATTGGCATTTAATTAGCATTTATTGGTGTTTATTGGCGTTTAATTATCATTTATTGGCATTTATTGGCATTTAATTAGCATTTAGTGGCATTTAATTGGCATTTACTGGCGTTTATTGGCACTTAATGATCATTTATTGGCATTTAATTATCATTTATTGGCACTTATTGGCATTTAATTATCGTTTATTGGCATTTAATCACCAGTTAGTGGCATTTATTGGCATTTAATTATCAGTTATTGGCATTTAATTATCAGCTATTGGCATTTATGGGCACTTAATTATCATTTATTGGCATTTAATTATCATTTATTGGCATTTATTGGCATTTAATTAGCATTTATTGGCATTTAGTTATCATTTATTGGCATTTATTGGCACTTAATTATCATTTAGTTATCATTGATTGGTGTTTATTTATCATTTATTGGCATTTATTGGCATTTAATTATCATTTATTGGTGTTTATTTATCATTTATTGGCATTTATTGGCACTTAATTATCATTTATTGGTGTTTATTTATCATTTATTGGCATTTATTGGCATTTAATCATTCTTTATTGGCGTTTAATTATCATTTATTGGCATTTATTGGCACTTAATTATCATTTTTTGGTGTTTATTTATCATTTATTGGTACTTATTTATCATTTATTGGCATTTATTGGTACTTAATTAGCGTTTATTGGCGTTTATTGGCATTTAATTATTATTTATTGGCATTTATTGGCACTTAATTAGCATTTAGTGGCATTTAATTATCATTTATTGGCATTTATTGGCATTTAGTTATCATTTATTGGCATTTAATTATCATTTATTGGCATTTATTGGCATTTATTGACATTTATTGGCATTATTGGCCCCTGCTGCAGGTAAAAAGGGCAGAAAATAGACCAAAAATGCACCAAAAATGGCATTTATTGGGGTTTATTGGCATTTAATTAGCATTTATTGGTGTTTATTGGCATTTATTGGCATTTAATTAGCATTGATTGGCACTTAATTAGCATTGACTGGCATTTATTGGCAATTAGTTATCATTTAATTATCATTGACTGTCATTTATTGGTGTTTATTGGCATTTAATTGTCATTTATTGGCATTTAATTATCATTTATTGGCATTTAATTATCATTTATTGGCGTTTAATTATCATTTATTGGCATTTAATTATCATTTATTGGCATTTATTGGCATTTAATTATTGTTTATTGGCATTTGATTATCATTTATTGGTATTTATTGGCATTTAATTAGTATTTGTTGGCGTTTATTTAAAATTTATTGCTGTTTATTGGCATTTATTGGCATTTATTGGCACTTAATTAGCATTTATTGGCAGTTAATTGGCATTTATTGGCATTTAGTTGGCATTTATTGGCACTTAGTTATCATTTATTGGCATTTATTGGCATTTAATTAGCATTTATTGGTGTTTATTTATCATTTATTGGCATTTATTTATCATTTATTGGTGTTTATCATTTACTAGCACTTAATTGTCATTTATTGGCACTTAATTATCATTTATTGGCATTTATTGGAATTGAGTTGTCATTTATTGGCATTTAATTGGCATTTATTGGGGTTTATTGGCACTTAATTAGCATTTAATTGGCATTTATTGGCGTTTATTATCATTTATTGGTGTTTATTGGCACTTATTGGCATTGAATTATCATTTATTGGGGTTTATTGGTACTTAATTAGCATTTATTGGCATTTAGTTATCATTTATTGGCATTTATTGGCATTTAGTTATCATTTATTGGTTTTTGTTTATCATTTATTGGTGTTTATTTATCATTTACTAGCATTTAATTGTCATTTATTGGCACTTAATTATCATTTATTGGCATTTATTGGCATTTATTGGCACTTATTTATCATTTATTGGCATTTATTGGCATTTAATTACCATTTATTGGCACTTATTAGAACTTAATTACCATTTATTGGCGTTTATTGGTATTTAGTTATCATTTATTGGCATTTAATTATCATTTATTGGCATTTAATTATCATTTATTGGCATTTATTGTCATTTATTGGCATTTGATTATCATCTACTGCCATTTATTGGCACTTAATTATCATTTATTGGCACTTAATTAGCATTTAGTGGCATTTAATTATCATTTATTGGTGTTTATTGGCATTTAATTATCTTTTTTTTGCATTTAATTATCATTTATTGGCATTTATTGGCATTTAATTGTCATTTATTGGCACTTCATTAGCATTTATTGGCATTTATTGGCATTTTATTATCATTTCTTGGCGTTTATTGGCACTTAATTACCATTTATTGGCATTTATTGGCATTTATTGGCATTTAATTGTCATTTATTGGCACCCAAAAATGTCCATAAAAATCCCCAAAAGTGTCCATAAAAGTCCCTAAATTGTCCCCAAAATGTCCCCAAAAATGACCCCAAAATGTCACCGAAATGTCACCAAAATTGTCCATAAAAGTCCCCAAAAGTGACCCCAAAGTGTCCCCAAAAGTGTCCTCAAAGTGTTCCCAAAATTGTTCCAAAAAGTGTCCCCAAAATGTCCCCAAAATTGTCCCCAAATTGTCACTAAAAATGTCCCCATAATTGTCCATAAAAGTCACCAAAATTGTCCCCAAAATGTCCCCAAAATGACCCAAAATGTCCCCAAATCCCCCCAAAATGTCCCCAAATCCCCCCAAAATGACCCCAAGTGTCCCCAACCCCTCAAATCCCCCAAATCCCCTCAAAATGTCCCCAAATCCCCAAAATGACCCCAAATGTCCCCAAAATCCCCCAAACCCCCAAATCCCCCAAAATTGTCCCCGAACCTCCCCAAACCCCCCAAATCCCCCAAACCCCCCAAAATGACCCCAAAATCACCCCAAATCCTCCCCAAATCCCCCAACCCCCCAAAATCCCCCAAATCCCCCAAAATGTCCCCAAATCCCCCAAAATGTCCCCAAATCCCCCCAAAATGTCCCAAAATCCCCCAAATCCCCTCAAAATCCCCCCAAATCCCCCCAAAGTCCTCCCAAATCCCCCAAATTCCCAAATCCCCCAAATCCCCTGAAATGACCCCAAATCTTTCCTGAACCCCCAACCCTCCCCAAATCCCCCAAAGCCCCCAAACTCCCCAAATTTGACCCCAAAGCCTCCCAAATCCCCCTGAAATGACCCCAAATCTTCCTGGACCCCAATCCCCCAAACTCCCCCCCAACCCCCAAAATGTCCCTAATACCCCCCAAATCCCCCAACCCCCTAAATCCCCCAAAATGTCCCCAAATCCCCCAAACTCTAAACCCCCCCAAAATGACCCCAACTTCAAACCCCCCAACCAGCAATACGTAACTGAACG